GCAGGACTCGAACTCACGAGCTGTGAGATCATGACCTGAGCCAAAGTCAGACGCTCAACCGACTGAGCCACCCAGGTGCCCCAATACACTGTTCTTCTTGATGCCTTCCATGTAACTTCACTCATCTGGGGTTAGTCCTTGTGATGTAGGCACTAATCTAAATTTAAGCGTGATAAACCTTTGTGTTAGCATTCTAAATTTAATCCCTTCCTCTCTGTTATTGACACTTTTCTCCACTTGAGTCTGTGTCTACTAAATTTGGAATCTGCTTACCTGGATGATTAATTTCTCTAGGACCCAAGTCAAACTTCTTCTTGTCAGTAAAGCACCACGATAAAAACAAAATTCTACGTCTCTAGTGATTACTGTACTTGTTTCATTTATTCAAAAGTATGTAGTGAATATCGACTATGTGCTGAGGATACAGAGGAACAGAAGAGATGAGCCTCATTCCTGCGGAGATGGGACGATGGGGTTAAAATAGTGACTATCACCAATAATTCAGTGCTGCTCTCTGAGACAAGTGAATGTCCATGCGTTTACCCATCAACCCCAAAGAGCCCTTCAAAGACACAATGTCGGGGAGTTTCTATCTCCATACACTTGCTGAGGCTTCTATCCTGTGTCTTCTCCAAAACGAATTCCTGCACCCTGGCAGAAAGACAGTGAGCAAGAGGTTGGTGTGGGAGTCAAAGGCAATAATATATTGGCAGGAACAAGGAAAATAGTGTCAAAGAGAGACACCGTACTGGGTGGCCGCAAACCAATTGTCCAGCAATAGAGGTGGGGGGGTGGTGAGCAAAGAGAAGGCCTGTGCTAGACCCCAGGTTTGAAAGTCCTGGGACCCAGCGGGACGGTTTTCCATGATGGTGGAGCTTTTCAGATTTCCTTACCACGATCCCCTGTTATGTGAAGTAATCTGTATGTGTTCTCCTTGACATGCACCCTGTAGTATCTGTAAATTGCTATTTAAGAGGAATTGGATTCCAATCTTAGTTCTATCACTCACTGTGTGTCATATGACAAATTATCTAATCTTTCTGTTCCTCTATTTCGACACCAATAAAAGAGGGAGAAGGCACGATGCCAAAAAAGTAACCCGAAAAGGGAAAAAACGTGACCCGTTATTATTGTTGTTCTTTCTATCATCTATTACGACTGCCTTCTCTATTGGCCTGGAAGCTTCATGGGACAGGAACCACGTCTGTCTCTACTGTTATGTCTCCAGCACTTGGTAGAAGTCAATACCCGATAAATATGCGTTGAATTCCTGAGCTTGAAATTACCTAAATGCACATGTACGTTATTTCCTCTAGTCTTCTCTGAGTCAACCTTAAAAAAAAAAAAAAAAAAGACATCATAGCTGTACCTATTTCATGGAGCGCACAAAGGTGCACATAAGGGTGCTTGGCCTTAGCCCAAAAATAAATATGAGGGCTTTAAAATAGGTAGATAGTATCAGTCTCAAATTTTTGTAGGTATTATTTGCGGCAACATGGACAAGCACGGAGGGTATCGTGCTAAGTGAAATCAGCCAGAGAAAGACAAATACCATATGATCTCAGTTATCTTAAAAATCAGCCCACCAACCAAGCAACCAAACAAAACCAACAAAAAACACAAACAGACCCACAAATACACAGAACACACTGGTGATTGCCAGAGGGGAGGGAATGGGGGATGGGCAAAACGCGTGAAGGGGAGTGGGAGACACAGGCTTCCGGTTACGGAAAGAGTAAGTCACGGGGATGAAAGGTACAGCACAGGGAATATAACGGTGTTGTAACAGTGACCGATGGCAGCTACACTTGTGAGCACAGCACAACATACACAGGTGTCAAATCACTAAGCTGTGCACCTGAAATGAACACTGCGTGTCAACTATGCTTCAATAAATAAAATAGTTTTGTAGGTTTTCTTAATGTTTGTAAGTTATGGGAAACATCAGGGAATAACTTTAAGAGTCCCAGATCTGAGGGTAGAGTTCTGGATTTTAATTCTCCATTAGTATTGACAAACTGATTAGCCCTGAGAAAATTGTCCAACCACCTTTGTGATTTTAAATTGAGATTATAATAAATACCTAATATCCCAGGGACTACGGAGAATAAATATAATACACATGTGAGTACTCTGTAAATTAGCATTGACTAAGTTTAACGTATTACATTCCCTCATTTTAGACATAATATTTGTGATTCAATTGAAGTATGTGCCATTGTTGGACAAAATACAATTAAGGTTGGGTATTAACCCAGGCGAGAGAAAATTTCAGTATGACATAAATCTCCATAGACTCCATTAGTGCTCTGAACTCACTGACGTTAGTGAATAGAGCCTTTGTCTCTCAATACTTTTTGGCAACACAGAGCAGGGATCCTGTTAAGAAGGTGCTAGAAAGCCAGCAGTAGCATGCAGAGGGGGAAGGGAAAACTGAAGGTTGTAGTCAGGGGTGATCAGAAAGGAGGGACTCTCAGACCATGGCTATTACAGACGGCCACAGGGTCATTTTAGGAAACCATAGGGACAGAGAAGGAAAGTTGAACCAAAATAGCCTGGAGGCAAAAACCTGAAAGAAACGCTAGTTGTGTTCACTGTAAATACTTCAACCACATTCATGCCTTGGATCTGTAAATATTTATAGAAATGACGTGGCCAACCAGAGTAGCTGGCAGTTGAGCAAGACAGACTTAAGATCAATAGTGGATGCCTCTCGGGATCTATTAGGTAACAAATCTGTTCAGCGTGAAGGTAAATATTTTTCCTTATCCATCCATAGCCATACTCAATTTGGGGTATTCTGTCTACAGAATGGAGTTACCAAAGAGGCTGAGGGAATTGTAAAATACAAGTGGGACTCTACTATGGCTGACCTCTCAAACAGATGCTCAGCTCCACGTCTCCATCTAGAGGATGGACCCAAGACTGTTTGTTTGCTGGGTGGTTTTCTACTCGTTACTGCTCTCCACCAAATATTTCTGGCTCTTGGCCTTCTGGGCACATGGTAAAATTGGATTTTCCTGCTCTCCTTTGAAATTAGGGTGGTCAGGTGATTTGCTCCGACAAAGGGAATGAGACCAGAAGTGGTAGGTGTCACTTCTGGGCAGAAGAATTAGGTAGGAGCCAGTGCGTAGGTATCATGGGCTGCTTCCCTTCTTGGTGGTTGAGTTGGGACTCTGTCAGGTTGTGGCCAAGTGGCTATGAGGAGCAGAGGCCCCTACTAAAGCTCACGGACTATGTAAAGAAGAAAGGAATTTTTGTTGTGGTTTGCCCGAAGATGTTGAGTTTGTTACCACATCCTAATCCAGCCCATTCTGACTAGTACAGCTGGCCTTTATTATTTGTTTTGAAGGGAGTATCTGACTCTCACTCTGCCCTAATTTGGGAAATGCATTTCCCACATTCTCAACCTAGGCTCATGTGGATGATACACATCTTGTCTGGGTTACTCACACACAAAAGAATATTTTTAATGTTCAGA